TGTAACATTTTTGATAAGCCATCAGAGAACTGTTGCAACACAGCCTGGCTGCTGAATGAAGCACTGGGAAACAAGGCTACCATGCAGCATGACAGGTCCTTCAAATAAAATTAAACCCTCAGGGAAGTCACTATTAACATTTTGCAAGGAGCACACCCCCATCAATCATATTAGGAGGGCACACTTATCCCAAGTTCTGCTCAATTATTTTGTGCTCAGAAGGAGAACAAAACACTGCCAGAGAAGAAATCCCAAATTTGCTCCACTGCCACAGAGAGCTACAGATAGTGGACAACATGTGAGACATATTATCCTGCAGGCCTGTAGCCAAGCCCATGATATTAAGAATAATAAGCAATCTGATGGCTGTTTAGAACATTTTGTTTTCTATATAGGACTGCAAGGAAATCATAATTCAAACACGGCGTATCACCAGTTATAAGAGACTGTTTCCCTACAAGAAACTGTGGCCTCTCCCAAGCACTCTGGGTCTGAAGCTACATTGGTTTGTCAAGGAATCATAGTGTCTTCTGAAGGAACAATCTGGAATCATTTAACATTCCCAGAGGTGCAACTCTGTAGCTTATCCAAACAGAACAGATTTCGCTGAGGTTGGAAGTTTACCATGAAAATGTCTGATTTACCCAGGAAACCACTCAAGAACATCTCAGCCAGATAAATACATATTATTCCAGCTGGAATAAGCATTTCTTAAAGGAACACCCAGTTCAGAGGCTCTTCATTGCCACAAAACTCTTAGGGGGTGCAGAAAAGACAGGCAATGCTCCGTGCTGAGAGTAAACAGACCCCTGAGCCCACAGCAGCCCCTTCATGTCGCTGTGCCAGAGGAGAGCACGTTCCTTCAGTTCACACCACATGGCAGGAGCTGTCACTGAAAGGATTCCTGGACCTCAGGCAATGGAAAGCATGGAACCACACCTCCACAAATAAAGTGTTAACCTACTCTCCACGAGTTGTCAGGTAATGGACACTGGCTGCCCAAACAGGAAAACTGGGTTGCACAGACAAGAGCATTCACCTCATGGAACTTCAGAGGAGCACCCTAGCCGGCACTTTTGGGATATTTCCAGTTGTACTTGCAACAACTGCTCTCATTCCAAGACATTCATTAGGCTGCAACTCTCCAAAACTAAAGTTTGCAATTTATAATGACAGAGAATTCAGAGCACCTGCTGGAATGTAATATCCTGAAGGTACACACAAATAGTGTCACAAAGTGAGCCCAAAACACACGCATTTCCCTCAATCAATGCTTTTCTAACAACCATACACAGGAGACACTGTGTTCGAGCACACTGTGTGGGTGGCAGCAAGACTTGGAATGTTTCCTCATGCATTGTACTGAGATACAAGGCATTGTGGATGAAATGCAGTCTATTTGAATCCTTGCAGTGCCATTCACGGCATAATCTGCACAGGTAAAATCTGCCTTTGCAGCCTGACCTCAGCAATACTGACGCAGCAACCAAAACACAACTTGTATCTCTCACCTCTAACTAGAAATGTGATTACTTATCACTGAAACAACATCCACATAACACTGAACACAGTAGCTGTGTCATGGAAAAAGTGAACACAATCACACAATCTTATCTTGTTTCCTAATTAAGAACTCACATTTATGGACGTTCAGATGTTGAAAGAAAAAAAAATAAAAAGAGCAGTCCTATTAAAGGAGGTGGAAAATACCACTATGTGGAAATAACAAGACCTGAAGCATGTTTGCACAAAGTCCTTTGACACATTTTTTCCCAACGTACTGCCTGACCAACACACAAAACAATGAGAACACAGTAAGACATTACCTTGATGCAGACGGACATTTTACCTTGGCAATGCTCTAGTTCACTTCTGGCCATCTCTACACAGTGAAAATCTGCTACTACCCCTAAAGGAACCCATATGCAAGGCATCTCAATAAAGACACTCCCACCTCAGAACACTGCTATAAAGACTTCTACTAAGATAACTGTGAGTAGAAATAAAGGCAGATTGATGGACTATTTTAGCCAAAGTATGCTTCACATCCTGCTTAATTCATAATCATGAATTAAACAGGTTGGCTTTCCTTCTAAGGCACTGTGGTGGGAAGCCAATCATTCTGAGCCAATGGGTAGCCCCACTGAAGATGCAAAGAGCATTTTGTATAGTTTCCAGGTGTTTACTTCCTTCTGCCTTTCTGCAGAATAGCTCACTGACCATGAAATTCACCTCTGCCTTCCCTGGCAGCCATTTAAGCCAAAGGCAGCTGGATCTAGGCTACGCTCAGCCAGTTCATAGAAGGGTCATCAAGAAGTCACAGACCTCTCTCAACTTGGCCCTGAAAAGAGAAAGACCCCAGCAGGAGGGATGACACCTCCATCCTGAGAGCAAGGCAATTTCCAAAAATAAATGTGGACTTTGTTCATGGCACGTGCCCCATTCAGCCAGAAAAAAGCTTCCACTACAGGCAACAGCTGAGCTTAGAAAGCCAAGATCCTCCTGCAAGGCATCAAAGGTCCTGCAGTCATACCACTAAACCATTCCATGCACTGGGATTTACACTTCCCACTGCCCATTTTTATTGGCCCCAGACTCCTTCTGGTAGTTTGAAGGTCTGGATAACCTCCCACTTGTCCTGCATTAACAGCCAAGCACAAAGCAACCCCACAAAGGTGGATCCAGCCCAGTCCTACTCCTGCAGCAGCCAGAGCTGCACCTGAACAAAATTAAACACCTAAGAAGCAGCACAGGGACAGCCAAGACTTGCAATAGAGACTCCAGAAAAAGAAATCATCTTCTATAGCATTAAAACCAGTGCAAAGTTCTTCTTTCTCCAGATATGCATAATATTGAAAAATGCAGACTACACAAGCATAAGAGACAGAGAAGCCCAAGGACATTATTGCCCATGGATGGAAATTATTTTGCCACCACTACCACTCCCAAAGCACAGTGAGACCAGAGACCACCTGTGCTGGGCACTGGGACAGCACAGCAGAGCTCCTGCCATGAAGAACACATCAAGGCTTTACCATATACCAGCAGATCAGTAGAGAAAGGACATGGAAAGGAAGCACAGTGCACAGATCCACCATTAACAGCTCAGGTTTGGGCCTTGAGCTCCCTTCAGCTTCAGTGAACTGAAACACTTGCCTGACACATGCCTATCCCTGACCTGCTCACTCAGGAAAGCCTGGGATTACTGAAGACTGGAAAACACAGAAGCACCAGTCCCAACTGGTCCCTGTGGACTCTGGCAGGACTTCTCCAGACCTGCTGACTCCACAGACATGACAGCTCATCATGTTAGAGCCACGGCCTCTGAAGGAAGAATCAGCTTCCATTAGCTTCTTCCCATCTTAGCAGGTGCTGTGTCTGAAGGTATTCCAGAGAGGATATTTCAGATGGATTTCACAGCAGCTCCCTGCAAGCAGCTGTGTCAGATGGCTGCCCCCTGGGCTGTCAGCACACAAAGGAGCTCGTGCATCAGAGCAAGCATCTGCACAATGCTAATGGAAACTGTCCTCGTGAGAAGACACAGCATTCACTGGGCCAAAAACCAGTTCTACAAACAACCTTCAGACTGATTACACATCACTTCTCACCCGCTGGCACCCTGCCAGCCATGTAACCCACTTCTACACTCTTCTACACTCAGACTCACTATTCTCAGTCACGCTGCCCGTGGTTTGCCCAAAGCAGTTCTCCTCTCCCTCGCTCCTGGAGCACTTCATTTGTGAAGCCTATGCACATGCACATCCTTCACCATCACTAAGTTCTATGTTTTGCATATGCAAATCCCTCGCTCCTGGAGCACTTCATTTGTGAAGCCTATGCACATGCACATCCTCACCATCACTAAGTTCTGTGTTTTGCATAAGCAATTTTTTTTCTACAGGAAGTCAACCTGATCATTCTGTCCTGCTCTCCAAATTCCAGCTTGGGAGTAACCTGCCCACAAATGAACAACACCTCAAGTCACTTTAAAGCTATGAAATGATCATTTGCTTCCTGCTCCGCACAACAGCCTCAGCATGTGTCATCAAAAGGTGCACAGGCTTTTAGCAGACACATGTTGCAAATTCCTTCACATCTGCTGCCTGCCGAGCCCAGCACTCCCTTGGGCACCACAATCACAGAGCCTTTCTCTAGTAGCCTGGAGTATTTTGGAACGTTTCTACTCCAGCCCATCTGGCCACACAGTCACTGAGCTTCCCTCTACAAACACATCCATCCAGCAAAGCCCTTTCATAAAGGCTGGTATCTTGCTGCCCTACAGGAACGTTTATTTCCCCACCCTTGAACTTTACACCTCTGATTTTTGTGAAATACATCATTGCAGACAACACACTACAGCCCAGAGACACAAGAAACTAGGGTGACTTCCTGAATCTGCCATGTAAGTCTCATGAGAAGACCTGATCAGTCTGATAAGATGAGCGGGCCAAGGGACACCCACCCACCTCGTTAACACCTGATGCACCTTCTGGCTCCAAGACAGGTGTCCGTAAGCACACCTAGCCATACGGACAGCGATGACATCCCCACCACTCAGCCTGTCTCCCATCTCTGACAGACGTACAACTCTGAGCTCAGCTGGCAGCGCACCGAGTCCTTCCTGCTGCTCCCCAAGGTCTGGAGCGCAGATGACACAGGCCCAGGGATGGGCACTGCCTGCTTCACGGAAGCGGCTGCAGGGCCCTCACCGCCCACTCCGGGGGCAAGAGGCAGCTTCCAAAGCCCGGCCGCGGCGAGGCACCCCTGCAGAGACCCACGGCCGGCGCGGCACACGCTCGCCAGGGGCTGCAGCACGGAGGCAGCGCAGCGGCGCTCCCGCGCCGTGCCCCTGCCCCGCC